AGAGAGAGAGAGAGAGAGAGAGAGAGAGAAAAGGAGAAAGAGAGAGGGGGGCTTTTGTCTCGTTTCGCAGGCGGACGTAACATCAACTTCCGCGACGATTGCCCTTTGGTTCCTCCGGGGCAAGGGTAGCTTCTTTCAATTCGGATGTACGTGTTTAAGATACGCGTGATGTAAACGTGTCCGATTAAATGAGAGGAGAGAGGAGCTTACGCGATATCGTGCCCTTCTCCCGCGATCGTTCCTCGGCGGTAACCTAGAGTAGATCGACGGCTCGTTTGAACACGATCATTCTCCATCGTTTTTCATCAATTCGATATAACTATCTTAAACATGTGCCCCGATTCCTAAATACCTTTTTCTACCTTGTCTTATATCGCGTACTTTGTATTATATATTTGAATAACTTGTGTCTACGGTAGCATTTAGCTCAACATTCCTCGCGAAACATCCTTCTCTCAACGCGAGAGCGGAACGCTTTTTTTCCGTTAAACTCGCCAAGCCCTCTCCCGTCACGCGTAAACTTCGATTGCCATTTTTTTACAAGAATCTGAGCAAGAAATAGTTGCGCGGATGACTCCGAGGTTTCTGTCGCGAGAAAAATTGTTGATTATTCTTCCCGTAGAAAGAGACAACGGAGTCTGAATATATGGCAATCAATGCATTCCGATCACTAAGCGGTATTTTTAAGAGATGCATCAAAGTGTTGAACACGTGTGTTACAATGTACGTCATTCCGCGTAGAGAGAGACAAGCCTCTGACTTCTTATCTGTTTATTACTTTTTTTTTTTTTTTTTATTACAATTGCTATCGTTGAGGGAAAAGATGGCCTTTTTTTGTCTTCTTTCTTTCTTTTTCCTTTTTTTTTTACACGATGGGGTAAACCGCTGATCCGAAAAAGTTGTACCAACGTTCGCTCAAACGAAAAAGAAAAGGCACCACGGTTTCAACCCCGTAAGCGTAGCCAAAGTATTATAATTTATTCCCATTGTATTGCGCAAGACCATTCACGTACACATCTTAAAAAGACTACTTTAGACTTATGGGATTATAAAATAAAAGTCTGAAAAATATGATTTGTTGTGTTTCTTAAAATTGTTTCTCTTCACACCTCGTTCTTTCATGATTCAACCTATCGATCACTAATCGGGTAAATTAATTTTTCCCGTATCCTCATTTAGTGCGTATCGGTCTCTATGTATTTCTTGTATATATAAAGTTCGTATAACGTATTTGTATATAGGTAATATTTGTAATATGATTAAAATTATGTTCTTCCCTCGAACATATTTTCGTTATCCGAAGCTCGATCCGTCATCAACGATCCTTCATTTTCTCTCCTTTTTTTAATCGTTAAACAGATAAAAATTATTAAAAGTATCCTCTGCTAAAGGGAAGATTCGAATTTCTCATATCAAGTATAGGAAATTTTAAACACAACTTTACGAGAAAAAGAAGAGAGAACTAGCCAAATGATAAATCTAACTTAGAGTTAAAGATATAAAAGATTTGAATAAAACGAAAAAATAGTTTATAGCGGAATAGTTTTAACAAGAGAAAGAGAGGAAAACGCGATAGAGATTAGAAAGCATATTAGAATAGAATAATCGCAAATCTCCCGAGATAAACATACGTGCAAACTCATTTTCTAGATTTTCTAGATTCAGTATAGCAGGATTTTACGTTTTTTGTAATATTTTAAAAATTACAAAGCAAAGCGTGACTGTGTGATTTTAGTATTCTGGTTTTTTTTTTTTTTTTTTTTTTAATTCGAACTCACACATTTATCTTTTCTCTTTTTCTCTCTGGAAATATAGAAAGAAAAGGAAGATGAACTACAAAAAGTTCAGCCGAAAAGTACATTATAATCTTGTGTTGAATTACAAATGATTATTGGCCATTTGTCACGATTAACAATCTTGTTCATTAACAATATCCTTTTTTATTTCGATATGAAATATTTATCAACATATTTCGTCATTCGTGTCTGTCTCGCGATGAAATTAGCTCAAATTGAAATTTCAGCTTGTCGGCAAGAGGGAAAGAGGGAGGGAGAGAGATGGAAAACTCGTTAATGCATGTAAGGAAAAAAGGTGCTATGTTATTCTTGGATGTGTCGTAATCACATATCATTTAATCAATTTGAAACGGGAACGAATCGCGAATAATTTTGATTCTGATCTGACAGTCATCTCACGGCATCGTCACTAGAAAAATATGAGACAACATGTCGGTGATCGTCGGCAAAGGTTAGTCAGTGGAATGAGACACTGATTGGATTCCGTAAAACGCATATGCGCGCATTTATCTATAGTTCATGTCACGCAACTATAACAAAATGCGCGCATATGTGCTTTACGGAACCCAACTATTGATTCATCAAATCCAAACCTCAAAAACAAAGCTTTAATTATAAATAATTATAAATACAAAGCTTAAATTAAAAAGACTGCTTAGCGTGTGCTCGTGAATGATACGAATTATGAGTTCTTGGTTTAATTTCGTGAAAAACGCATTTCTCGGAATGTTACGATTGTTTTGGTTTGATAAATCCAAAATACCAAATTCTCTAAGTATATACATTAAAACAAATACAGGCAATACTCTTTCTGTCGAATTGGATCCAAAATGGGATATAAAAAATTTAAAGGAAATTGTTGCGCCTCGGATGGGGATAGCACCGGAAGATGTTAAAATTATATTTGCAGGTAAAGAACTGCACAATTCAACTATAATAGAGGTAAGAGGTCGTTTATACACATAAAGTTATTTCTACGCTTACGTATCTGCTTGTGTGGTGATATATCGATACGTTTAATATTGCAGGAATGTGATTTAGGGCAACAAAGTGTTTTGCATGCAGTACGGACGCCACATGAGAAGCTTAATAGAAAGAAGGATGCTGCAAATTCCATAGAGGAATCTATGTCAGAGATGTCAGATTCGAATGATAGTGGCAGCAAACCTATGAACGAGATACTTATGGATTTATCCTTGGATGAATCAAATCAAAAGGACTTATCCTTGGAAGGTAGTAGCGATATTAATTTTATAAAGATGGTATATTTTATAAACGCTAAGAAACAAATGATTAATTGATCACTTTATTCTTGTTGACAGAGCAGCAGGAAAATCGAGCACATTTTTATGTATACTGTTCGGCGCCATGTAAAGAGGTGACAGCTGGTAAATTAAGGGTCAAATGTGCAACATGTGGTAGCGGTGCTGTAACTGTGGATAGAGATCCTCAATGCTGGCCAGATGTGTTACAACCAAAAAGAATAACCGTACATTGCGAAAATGACTTTTGTCTTGTAACCTCTAATGCATTTAGAGACGAGACAAATATCCAGATTTCTTACGCTCATTTTTACTTTAAATGTGCAAAGCATCCCAGTTTGGGAGAAAATGACAAAGCTGTACCCCTTTACTTGATAAAGCCAAATTTAAGGAATATTCCTTGTCTAGCATGCATGGATATCAGGTGCTTAATATAATGAAAATATGATATCTCAGAAATATCTTTTAATAACTAATATTGCTCTTTTATTTCATTATATATAGAGAAACTGTTTTGTTATTTCCATGTGAAGCTGGTCATGTGACTTGTCTCGATTGTTTTCGTGAATATTGCACAGTTCGTTTACACGAGCGACAATTTCAATTTGATATTACTGAAGGATATTATACTTTGTCTTGTCCTGCTGGGTGCTCCAATTCTTTTATCCGTGAAATTCATCATTTTCATCTTCTTAGCATAGAACAGGTAAATAATTTACATGTAATATTATATTTCTCAATTTGAATTCTTTTGAAAATACTCTAATATATATTTTTTTTTATATATGCAGTATGAAAGGTATCAGAGATTTGGCACGGAGGAACATGTTTTACGCGCTGGTGGTTTTTTGTGTCCAAGACCAAATTGTGGGATGGGTATTATACCTTATGATACAGAAGGTGATACCGAGTGCCGAAAAATCCAGTGTATTGGTGGATGTGGTGTAAGCGATTTTTTTTATATAAGTCTTATGTGTCTTTGTATACGTCTTTTTATTCTTTTGTATTTAAAAATGCACAATTTATGTATTATAAGTTGTGCATTTCTCAATTATATTTCAAATATATTTGAATTAAATTTACATTTGAAACTTATAGAATGTTATTATTAGCTATTTACAATTTTCTTTTTGACATCTTTTTAAAAAAATACAAAATATATGCTAAATATACACGATCCTCTGTAGAATTATAATATTTTTTTTAATTATTAAAATATGCAGTCATTTTAAGATTCTCATTGTTTATTTTCTTGTTTATTATGAGCATCATACGGTCTCTTGCTGATTTACCACGTTGTAATTCTCTAAATGTAACGTTTCTTTAACAACAAATGTACAATATAGACATTTTCTATAAGATAGAAATCAGATTAGTGTCTAATGATTACATTCTTTGAATTTGTGTGTGTGTGTGTGTGTGTGTGTGTGTGTGTGTGTGTGTGTGTGTGTGTATATT